ACGCTTTGATGTTCAAATAGTATTTTTAAATAACGGCTATTCAATCAATTTTATAACAGAACATGTTGAGCAATTGTTCCAAGATTTTCATATTTCCAATTGGAAATCAAATTTAAATCAAAATACCTATGATAAAATGCGTGAAGAAATTATCGAGTATGATCAACAACATCAAGAAATGAAAATAAAACAACGATGAAAACAACCAAGAGAACAACTATGCTACATTACATCTGATTTAAATGAAGAAGAGCTATACGATTTTCAACAAAATATTAAAACTTTATGGAAAGACTATTTGAAAAATCAACCACAACTCAATAATATAAACATTGAAGTCATTCATCGACCAAAATATCGACGGAACACAAAATGGCTGTCTATAATTATGAAATTCAGAATTTTTTTTGTTTCTTTTGTTATACATTAAGTAGATGGTTTTTTTGTAAACTTTATTAAAACTAGATATCACATAATTGTTGACTCCTACTTTTTCGAGATTTAATGTTTTCTCTTTGCATTTTAGATATTTAGTGTTCTGTATAAATGAATTATATTGAAACAAACAAAACAATGACAACAACGAAATCAATTTTAAAAACACCAAGTGAAGATGCTCAAGGTCACTAGCATGAATTACTTTCACCAATACAAGTGTTGACTGGACAACAGCAAATACAGGAACCAGCACAAGCACAGAAATGTGAAGAGGTAAAACGCAAGAAAAAAAGCCGCGGTGATCGAAAAGCACAACGTCGATGTGGACGACTTCATCAAAAAGGTTTAGATCTAGATAGACACACTGATTTAATTCAGTCAAACGTGAGCCTTCAGAAAAACCAGAAACAAATGAAAGAAGATGCTAATGATCATATACAGGTCAATGTACCAGTTGATCAAGTAATATCTACCTTTCTTATTAGTAAAAGAATCAATCAAACGTAAAAGAAATGAAATATCATCAAAACAATCATCAAATACAATTGATAAGTCTTTAAGTCAATTATCTATTTCTCAACCATCACGAAAAAAACAAAAGATGGCCAATAATGAAATTGAACAAATAACTACAAATGGAACATTAGACAAGAAACGTTCAAAATCTAAAAAAAGAAATTAATCATAATAATGACTATTCTTCTATATCTGATTATTTACAAGTAACCAACCGTATATTTAAACAAATGTTAATCAGTTCATTAGAAGGTGTTGATAAAATTGTTAAACGATTAAATACAAGTGAAAAAATTAACTATATTCGTCAATATGCTTGTTTAATACATCGTCTATTCTATGTACAATTACGAGAAAGTCAATGGAACTATTATTATGATATTAGTATGCAAGAAAATATTTGGTCCGGCCGCGTATCAAAAAAATGGGCTGCTATGAATAGTATGCATCATACTTATGGTCGCTAAAAATAATTAATCATACAACGTCTAACAACTCTTCAACGACAACTTCAAGAAGCATCACAAGCATTACAAGAGTTTGGCAATCCATCATTATCTCAATGTCTATCTGAAATGAATCATCCATTAGATTTTACAACAATGTCAGCTATGGTTACAGCTGTTGTCGGAAAAAGTCAACATAAATTAAAGCAACAATTTGAATATAATAAAAAAATTTTAAAATTAGACTGAACAGATCATCGTTTCGTACAATATGTTTATGATTTGAAACCTGATAAACAACAAATTCGTTCTATTCGTAATATATGGAAAGCAATTTATAATAAAAAAGCTTGTTAGCGCAACTTCTTTGAAGCTGAAATGTGGAACTTTCGTATATCCTTCAAACCTATTATCCTAATGCATTATTTGTAAACTAAAAAATAGTTCTTTTCAAATAATTCTGAAAGCATTGAAATATTGTATAGAATTTGAAGTCTCTTGTGCGCGGTTGCTAGGTCTGTAATGGGGGTATGTCTGTAATGTTCTCTTCCGTTGTTATGTGTCTGTAATGGGATGGGGGAGGGGAGGGGAGCTGGAAAACCTTGACCTTAACACTTACATCCACTATCTTCTTCGAAAATATATGTGAGTTCCACAAAACAAATGGAAGAACAAATTGAGATATTAAAATATCGCATCCATTCGAATTGTTTACCATCAACATTCAATCTTCTTGATTATTCACTTAACAAAATTGATAAAATACTTAGCCGATCGAAAAAATCTTCTACTGACGATGATGATAACAAGCAAAAAACAATATTATATGCTTGTCGTTTAAAAAAAATTGACCGATTTAAATATGGTATGCTTGAATTAAGTATAGCTGCTGGTAAAGAAAAAGTACGCTATTGAAATAGAATAGCGAAAAATGGAAAAAAGAAATTGGTAGCTATTACCGATAATTAAAAATAAACAATTCAGATTCAGATATATTCAAACAAGTAGTGGTAGCTATTGAAGCACGTGAAAAACATATGATCGAACGATCTGATTATATTACACAACAAAAATTGAAATCTTTTTTCGAACGAAGCTCCGGCATCACAGGACGATACAACGAACAACGATGGCGTCGGAGCAAATCAAAATTAATTATTCGAAACCATACGGATATGTTTCTTTGTTTATATTTTGCCAATACTATTATAACATTATCGAATGAACAATTGCTTATTCCCATGTCAACACTAAACGCAGAAATTGTGCGTTTAAACGCGTTTTTCTTGTGAAACGCGTCTGGACTCAGTCAAAAGACAATAAAAACCACGTCTGCACGCGATTTTGCACAGACCGCATCTAAACACGACTGGACTAAGACTTCAAGCGCATCTTAATGTGTTTTGGTTTGGAATCGTGTCTCTAGTGAAACATTTCTTGCGTCGAGACGTGGTTTTACTTGCAACCGCGCCTAGACGCATTCCATTACTTCGAGCAATATACAAACGAAATGCGATTGTGAAACTCGTTTCTAGGAAAAATATATAAAAGATTCGTTTTCTATTCACTAGAAAATATATATCACAGTTTCTTTCATAAAATTAATTTAGTTTGAAGTATATAGAGTTCTCAAAAAGTTTAGAGTTCTTTTTCTCAAGAAAGACAGAATGTATATATATTTTAATCCTAAAACATTGGTACTCTAAAATTGAAAATAATGAAATTTTAGAAATAATATAACCGAATTTTTTTTTCCAAAACGAATAGTTTCTATAATTAGATATTTTTAAAATTATGTAGTTGGACTTATCTAATGCAAACTCTTTTTTTGGATAAATAAGTATATTTTTATACACAGCACCTCATTGACGCATGTATCTATGAATAAGTTTATAATAGACGATGCATATATAGATTCTGTTTCGTTCTACAACTAATGTGATCCCATATGGCTCAATGGTATATACACTTGCTTTCTAATCGCTAGTTTACTTGTTCTAACCTCATTTCTATCATTTTAGAAACATTAAAATTTAAACTTTCCGTTGGCCTGTAGTTAGGTAAAGACGATCGCTAGGCAATATTGATAGCGAATCAGATCAAACCTGAGACGAATTGTAATGCATTTTATAAATTTGAAATAGAGGCATTTCTTTTATCGACAACCTATGGAAGAAATTATTGAACGACTATACAATCACATCTATAATGAAAATGTTAAAAATCTTACCGATTACATGTTTTCAACGCGTGATACATGTGCTATTGAATATTTTGCTGTAATAAAAAATTTACTTCAACAGCTATATACGAAACTAATACCAAAAAAACTTGAAAGACTTGCTCGATATATGTAAAAGATGATAAAATCAATGCAACGACAATTATGCAAAGCTAATATTGC